TTCCAACCAAAGCCGTTACCGGAGATTAGACAGATTCCAATTCCGTTTTCATTCTTGCATTAATTTACTTCAATTTTGAACCCATCAAATTCATTCCATTTTCAGCTTGAAATTTCCGTTGAAATAAGTTAGAAAATCAATTGGAAATCAACAAAAATATTTAAGAGATAGCCAGAAGATGCTGTAAAATTTGATGAATCTTTGGAGAAATCAATGAATGTTGCTGATTCATTGATGGATTTGGAGAAAAGTGAGGAGAAAGAAAATGGGTCTTTTGTAAATTTGGAGAAAGATGGGGAAAGGGAGTGGAGTGTGGCGGATGATGAGGTACTGAATAAATTAATGGTGAAACATCCGGTGGGGAAGTCAAGCTTATGGGAGGCGATAGCTAAGGTGGCACATAGGTTGGTCATTCTGGCAGCGGCATCATGTGACGGAATGAAGTGGAGGTTGTGGGTTGAGAGGGTTGGGGAAGAAGGAGATGGGGGTGGGTGGGGTAGGGGTTTTTTTTTTTTTATTATTAATTTTCGATTTAATAAAAGAAATATATTATGTCAAAAATGCCCTTACCTTATTTGGAGAAAATTATTAGATTTTTAATTTTTGGGTCAACTGACGATTTTTGAGGTCAAACTAACAGAAATCGTTATTTTGGACTTGGCTACGATTTGTTTAAAGGATTGGTACCATGACTGGTACAAATGAAAGGTTTGTGCAAAATCTGCAACTAACATAAATGTTTGGTACCTCGGCTGCAATTTTCCCTTATATTTATTATACATTGATCATGGGATCTATAATGTATTTAAATATTTGTATATACATGAAATGGAATTCCAGGTAGGATTTTGGAATGTTTGATGTTAAAATCCAAAGTTCTTGTGGCACCCCTAACTACTCCATTGCCAAAACTCATTATTTAATTGAAATTTAATTTTATTAATCAACAACCCTCCAAAAGCAAGCAAATTCGTCAACCACCACATGCAAAAAAGTGATTGCACTTTTGATGTTTATCTTCACCAATAGGTCCCGTTAAAAAACTTCGACGAGAATGAATGTCCTATTTGATTGTAAACTTTTACATAGAAAATGTCATTTGGAAAACGAATTCTACTTTGATCGTTTGATTGCAACGTAAAAATGAAAACTAAATTCTAAGGTACAATCACTTTAAACTGTTTTTTTCATGGAAAACGAATTCCTATGTGTTTGGTGAATTTTTATTTTCCAACTAATATGGAATTAAAATTCTTTTCCACACTTGTCTATCAAACAGACCCGAATATTCTTGACATTGGTTTGAAAATTCAATATAACGAACTTTTAACAAGTAGTGAATTGCATATATGTTGCTCGGCCCATACCCACACGAGCTACTCGTGTTCGAGCTCGCTGCTCATGCGGCGCTCTCATTTTTTTCAAAAATATTTTTCTGTTTTAAAATAAAATAATAAAATAAAATAAAATAAACAAACTCTCATCATTTATTCGGGTTTGGGACCAGTTACTTCAATTTTGAGTTAACGGAATTAAAAATTGTACATGAACAACTTGTTACGTGTACAATTTTTTTAAAAAATTATAATAAATGTATTAAAATAAAATTTTGTGATGAATATGATTAAATTAAATATCACTTACTTGATTACATGCAATTTCGATATATTTATCTTGCAGTCGATAATAAGCGTCTTCCCAATTCTTCACGCACATTAATGCTTCCAAAATATTTTCTTTTAGTTGACTTCTGATTTCAGAGATAACCCTCTTCCCTATACTAAAAACAGAATCCGAAGCTACAGTGCTAACCGGAGATATTAGTAGATCTTTTGTCAATGCAAAAACTACTGGCCATCGGCGTTCATACATTCGCTAGAAATCAATTACTTCTTTTGAATTTTTCCTAATTGCATTGTTACTGGGCATATTATGATTAAAATAATCAATTANNNNTTACTAGGCATAGTACAATGAAAGTAATCAATTAATTTAGATGGCAACGCATTTGGACTAGTACTCGAAGTTTCAGTACATGCAGGGGAAGACAAAATACTACTACTAGAGGAACCACATGCATATGCAGTTGAATCATATCTATATGAGTTCATGCATTGGAATAAATGTATAAGTGAAGCATCGTCATCTCCTATATTAGTG